AGCTGTAGAACAATTATCACATCTTAAATATATATGTATGTAGCTCCACTTAAACATATCCATTCAATGTTTTCTGCATATGTATTTTGTGTACATCAAATATTTATCATCTTTGGTTATTTTCGTTTTATGCAAAAAAAAAAAAAAAAAAAAAAATTGTTGATCATCAAGCACATCAACAACAACCGCTTTGAAGTACTCGAAAGTTGTCAACGAGAGTCAAAAGTACTCAAAAGTTGTCGAAATTCTCATTGTTGTATATTCATTCGCACTCAAAGTTTACACGTTTTCAATAGTACTTATACTCGTACGTATTCATTTCTATATGAATTCAATTGAGTCTATTTCAATTCCTGCTCATACTTAGCCGTATTCATAGTCATACTCTTACACATTTTCCTACTAATCATCTTAGATCCATTCCTATAGACTACAATGATGGCATATTGAGATTTACTCCTACTAAGATGATCTTATACTGGCCTCTCCTAAATCACTTCTAATCATACTCAGTTGATCGTAGACTTACTTTGATTCATACCTAGCTGATCTTATACTCATTTGTTGCTGAGGTGATCTTATACACACTTTTATTCATACTCAGCTGGTCTTCTACTTCGTTCTACTTTTACTCAACTGATCTTAAACTCACTTCGACCCATACTCAACAAATCTTCCACGTCTTTCTACTTATACTCGGCTGATCTTCTACTCATGCCGACTCACTGATTTTATTCTCACATCTACGCATACTCAACTGTTCTTAAACTCCTTTCTATATACTTTCATCTGTTCTTAGACTCATTTCGACTCGTACGCAGCAGATCTTATACCCACTTCTACTAATACTTATACTCCTTTCTAAATATGCTCAACTGTGCTCGTTCTATACTGAACATATACTCATTTCATCTATTTCATTCACATTCCTCTCTTCTTCAGCTGCAACTCGAAATAAACTTTGATATACCTAAATCGAAGATCGATAAACGCTTGCTATCGATAATCGGCGACAATTGATTTGGACACATGCCTGGCTGTTGGCTATCCAAACAAAAAATCGAAATCGAAATGGCAAAGAGTGCGGCTGCAAGTGCCGAACACTTGACTTGATGTCGGGCAATTAGAGCTGTTTGATAGCTGCTGCGAGGGGTGGGTCTGGCTAGGTGGACAGACGGCTTCAGGTGGACTGGGCAGCCTTTTTATCTTACACGCGTTTCGACAGGCTCAAAACTTGACTCATTTATATTGTATAAACAGGGCCGTCAGCTTGCATTGAAAACTGTTTCAGTCCGTGGCCCCGAGCGAGCTGCCGCTTGCTTTTGTAGCAGCAGCGACGACGACAGCGACGACGACGACGACGGCGACGTCGACTGCGACTGCGACAGCTTCTCCATTTATTTTCCTTACGGCATTTCGTGCATTTTGTTTTGTTTCATTTCTTCTCTTCTCGTTTCTTTTCTTTTTGCCACATTTCTTTAACATTTTCCCTTTGTGTCGTTTGCCGGTTCAAGCCGGGGCCAGCAGCTCGGTCGGCAAATTTCAAAGGCCAACAATTCATTAGTTATTTAAAGAAAGTTTTTTGTTGCCAAACACCCGACGACGTACCCGCACCGCCCCCTTGCCCTCTGCCTCTGCCCCTGCCCCCTGCCAAAGTCCACCCGCCAGCCTTTTGTCTTTGCCATTTCAATTGACAATAAGCGTTGATATTGATGTTCTTGATGACAATCATCATATACTACTATATAAACCTGAACAAAAATGTAAAAAAAGAACAACAAGAAAACAAATGAAAACATTTAGAGAGAACCTTACAAACCCGCTGCCAAAAGCATGCCATTTGTAATCGCATGTGTATGTGTTGAGTGTGTGTGTGCGTGCGAGTGTGTGTGTGTGTGTGTGTGTGTGCGTGCCATGTGCATGCCCCGCCCCCATCGCCGAAATACGTAATTGGAATTCCGTATCCGTCCGCCGTGCTCACTGCTCATTGCCTAGTAGATGCACTCGCCTAGCAAATCGCAGTCGCCCTTCTCCAGGGGCTTCAGCCAGAGCGGGTTGTAGTTGGGGCAGAGCTTGCGATGAATGGGTATTTTGATTTGGACTGGCGTCGGTGGCACGCCCTCCCAATTGCGCCCCTCAAAGCGCTGGCCATCGGATCGGTTGCACTGCATGCTGAGCGGCTCCTGAATGTACATCGTATATAATTGGTCCACATGCGGCTGGGTCCATTCGATAGTCCGATAATTCGCCGAACGTGCTCCGTTCAAGTGTATGCCATGCTGATGCTCCTTGCTAGATAGAGGCAGAGAGGGTGAGAGGTAGAGAGAAAGAGAGAGAATGGAATTTTAATTTTCAGGGCTAAGCGAAATATCTCCGCCTCGTCTGGGCGCGATTTCAATGAGAAATTTTCCTTTGCACCTCATTCTGTCGCCAATGACAGTTTGGTACTCCGAATAGTTAGTAAGGATATGGAGTGGAACGATGGAATGAAACAAACTCAAAGGAGAATGCCGAAAGTGTAGCAATAGAAAAAGGCTAATCAAGGCATAAATACATACAGCCAAAACATAACCTGGAACAGTGGAATGAAACAAAGACTAACACAAGAAACCTTCAGTGAAGTAAACTCAATTAATGATCAGATGATATGATGGAACTAAAATCTACTATTTAAAAAAAAATAAAACAAGCCGGAATGAAATGGAAATGAAACACTCTTTGCTATATATTTTCCAATTCACTTTAAACTTTGTCCGCTTTTCAAGCTAATTCTTTTTTTCAAAGGAATGGAATGGGAATGAAACACTTTTAAATACTTTCCAATTTCAACTTACTCTAAACTTTACCGCCTTATTTTGGGTGTCATAAATTTGGGAAATGCATTGCTCAGGCCCTCTTTATGGGAAGTCGACAAGCGATTGTCGGCGACTTAAAGGTGCTCTATACATATACATATACATATACATATACATATATATCAAGCTATCTCTTTGTTTGCCTGCTATACGGGCAGCCTATTTTGGCTAAGCTTTTTTTAGGCCCGTCACAGCTGGCAGACACCTACGGATTTTACCTTTTTGTGCTACGTAAATTTTCATAAGTTCTCTCATTCTCTCATTCAATCAGGCGGCCTTTGTGTGCCGGCACGAGGCTTGAACCCAATTTTCGGGCTGCCGAAAAAGTCTCGCAAGTTGCACAAGTCTCGCAAGTCTCTAATCTAATGTTCAAAAATAAAGCGAAGATGAGTTTTTACTTTTCTTTTGACGCTGGCTTCACAAACAGCCAACTAACAATGCGACGCGCCTTCAAGGACTTTGCCAGTTTAGGCCTGGGCCCATTAACGCTGGCAATTAGCGTGCACCTTGGAAAGCGCGAACGGGACGGACAGACGAGCGGAAGGGCGGATGGGCGGACGGGCGGACGGGCGGACGGACGGATGAACAGGAAGCTGAAGACATTTCCGTTATGAATACGCTTAAAGCGCGGCAGCCGCAAACCGGAGCCGCAACAAATGCCGGAATGCCAAACTTTTGCCTTTGATGGAAGAACGAACAGACAGAGAGAGAAAGAGTGAGAGAGAGAGAGGGACAGATAGATGAGAAAGTGCCATTAGGTTGCGTTGCCGCTGGTCTCTCAACTCGCTCAGTTTCTGCTAAAGGGGAAGTCTGCGACCCCACCTCTACCTCCGTCTCCTCCCACCACCTCCCTCCACCTGCTGCTGTTAACTCCATTGCTTTACCCCCTCTCCGTCTTAATTGAAACATTAAGCACGCCCGCATTTCATCCGCTTACCGCTTCATATAGATAAAATAATCCTCGAGTGTCTCCTCCGAAACAGAGCTCTTGCACACCTCCAGCTTGGTGGCCGGATAGTAGTGTATATAGTTGACGCACATCTCATCGCTAATGGAGAAGCCGCCAAGAGTGACATTCGCAGTGCCAAGCGTATTATAATAGCAGGTGGTGACCAATGCATCGCCCTGCAGAGCAACAGAGAGAAAGAGAGAGAGAGAGAGAGGGCGAGAAAGATGCAGAGCAGATTACCCTCTGCATATAGAGTGAAAGCATGAATTTAATGCTTACCGGCAGGACGCGGGGCTTGTAGTGCAGCGTGCGCATCTCCTGGAAGTGATGCGAATAGTAATCATCGCGATTTATCTCCCGCAGCTCCTGTTCGCCCCGGAAGTGTCTGGTCAGGATGCGAACGCCGCGCAAATGCGTATGCAGCTGCGATCCAAATATAATGATGCCCGTCTTTGGCAATGCGGCCCGTGTACAGTCCGCCACACAGTAGCCACTCAGTGGGAAGGCCGTCTGGCCAGGCGGTATCGCCATTTTGTCCGTATACTCGAGACCCAATTCCATGACGCCAGCATCGTATTGCCGCAGCGTCTTCGATAATTTAATGCGAAATCCAGAGTTGTCCATCAGACCTGCAGGGCGTATGATTAACATTAATGCAGGCGCACAGAAATTACGACGGACAGCAGCAGCTGCCTTGAAGATGCACACACGTCGTAACGCCCCCAATCCCTAGAGACAGGCACAACTCAGCAGCTCGTGCTCACGCGATTTAAGAACCATAACAGCTCGTGATTGTGCGTGAGTCGTCGTCGTGGCTTATTACATAATTATTGAAATATAGTAAATAGTATAGCTTATTTTA